TGGGCTATAAGTGAGAGTATTTTAGTGGCATGCCTTCTATTATGATTTTAATAATTATATGATACATTAGTCAAATTTGTATGTCATATGTGCTATAAAATCCATAAGATTTTGCCATTTTTGTTTAATCAGGTTGAACAGATAAACTAATTACAATGTGTTGATTTAGTCAGAACAGTTTTTATAATACAAGGAGTAAGAAGATGTAATTCTTGGGTAATGTGAATAATTAATATTTTATAAGTGACAAATTCACTCTAATGATATGTGAGATCATCAATACTTTAAAGAAATTTAATCATGAGAAAATTACAAATCACTTAATGTGTTCTCCAGACGATAATTATATTAGATTGAGTGGGGACTTCTTAAACTAGTGTTTGAATTTATCTTACAATGTTGTTACAAAATGTCCAGATATGGCATCAAAGAGAAACTACCAAGATCTTCACTTGAATTATAGTACAATGGAAAGTTATTAAAACATCATTAAACATCAAATACTTCAGAAAACAGCACTCTTTAACATAATCAACTCAATTTAAATATTTACTGTCAAGAGATGTCAAGGATATTGTCAAATCTACTTGCAAAGAAAAAAATAATAGAATTCCCATAGAATCCAGGCCTGCTTAATTAGCTGAGTAAAAGAGGCTTTTCTGTGTATTGAAAGCTTGCAAGCATTGACCATTTATTCACTCCCTCAACTCTCAGCAAATATTTATTAGTTAATGTGTGCACAGGGCTTATTGCATTTCCTATCACATAGTAAGCCTCCATAAATGTTAATAATTATCACTGTCCACTGTATCCACAGCATGCCAGGAATAAGAGGAGTGACAACTGTCCTCCTAAAGCAGTGATGGCCCTGGGCACCTGGCCCTTCACTCAATTAAGAAAATGGCTCTAGATACTTAGGGCATTTCCAACTAAACAAATAATTCAATGACTCAGACTGCATACCCCAGACTGGTAGTCTTGAACTGGTTTTTAACCATTTAAACAAGTCATTTCTTTGTTAATTATTTCTTGAATCTATTTGTAGGTTTTAAAGCTTAAATACAAACATCTCTGTAAATTTACTTAAAAAATTAAATTTGAATCTATTGTTACAGTATTTTTAACTAGGAACTTTAATTTTTCATGGATAGAGTTCAGTACAACCACCTTAAAATATTTTGGGAAAACTTCCAGGAAAGGACAGGGAAAAAAATCAAAAAAAATATGCCAACTCCTACTCTGTAATACATTTGTGTTCACATAGTTCATACATCACAATCCCAGCTTAGAGTCCACAAGTACTGGCAATTCAAGAATGTTGTTTAACAATGTTCGCTGACTTTGGCTTTCAAAAAACAGGTATGTTCATGCCTACTAAATTGTTCATATCTGAGTTGCAAAGAGAATCTGCCCTACTGTCAAACGCAGCATGAAAAGAAAGCAATGTATTAGTCCTAAGTATGTAAGTTGGAGAGAGCAGGGAAGAAAGCTTAGAATGAGAAACTGGAGTAAATAGAATCCATTCTGCCCCTACGTTTTCTCTTCATGCCTTTATCAATTACCCTCATTTCCCTCTCTGGCTGAATTGCTTAATGAAAAGTTCCTTTGAGATTATAAAACCTTGCTATCTATTTTATATCAGCTACAATAAAAGAGTTTTTAGGAAGCTCCTATTAGGGTTATGAAAAACATAACTGGGAGCCTAGAGGAATCAACTTAGTAAAAGCAAATGCCAATTTACAAAGAGGCATGAACATTGCTTTTCTACTCTTAGGCAACATGAATGCTTTGTTGGAAACATAAGTAAAACAAGCAAGAGGAAGTTTAAAGCGATGGCTTTGGAAATTGGATTTATTGATAATTTGGTTGAGAAATAGCTACTCCATATATGATTTCTTCCGTGAAAATATGGAATTCAAAGGGTTTTGAAAAAGCAAGATGTTAGGCTAATTTTGCAACAAACAAGGGCTTCTTATCAAAGAGAAAAACACACAGTGCCCTCTTTATTAAACTAGTGGTCAGACACCATTAGCACCAGTACAGATGGATGATGGTTGGTAAAGGTACAGTGATTTTTCAACCAAAGAGTCCTGAGGTTGAGGGTTTTTTATTTCAATAACGTTAAAGCCACAAACAATAGCTTTAGTTATCTTAAGGTGACAACAATATACAGAAGTGTGACTCAACTTTCATTTCACATTGGTAAGATTTATTAACCAAAGATCTGGAAGCTGACTAAAGCTCTAAGCATCTCAGTCTCTATTTGGAATATCCTGCAATATTAACAAAACCCAAATGTCTCTTCAACTACACGATAATGTTCTTCCACCAACAGCCCATACTAATATCTCCTTTTTAATGTTTACTCTTAAAATAGGAGATAAAACCAAGATAAAGAAGTGGGTAGATACAGAGATCGTAAAACAGAAGATGAAAAGAGAAGAAGAGAACATTTTTAAGAGACTTAACAAATCTGAAACTGGACAAAGGAGAAGATACATGTAAACATAAAGATTGGAGTAAGTGAATGGAAGAAATATATGCACAATAAAAAGAGAAAAGTACCCAAAAAGAAGTCCACGTTGGGGGATGTACCCAGAGAAAGTGAACGAGGAGAATACTATTTAAATATCCTTGGTGTGCACAGTGCTTTGTGTCATTTAATTGCCGCAACTATCTAAAATAGGTATTATTCCCATTTTACAGAA